TCCATAAAAGGTTGCCAGAAGTAACAACATATCTTGTTTTAACCTTGATCAAATAAACCAATTTTATATTCCATCATTTTTACTTCTAACAGTCTTCATCTTTAATTCATTCAAATATTGTAGGATTTGATTTTTCTTCATTGTCCCATTGCACAGAGTTCTTCAAGGCTTTAACAAGCCTCTTTTGTAAGTCCAATAAGAAAAAATTATCCAGGTCATTCTCTAGGTTTATCATTTGTATTTCCCTTTTAAATTTTAAAACCTCAGCCAGTTTCTTTTGTAAATCCAGTGAAACATCCTTTTATAAGTTATTCTCTTGATCCGTCAGGTGTAAATCCACTTTTGATACCATCTCTATTTTGTCAAAATTTGTTCCACATCTGTCATTTCTTCAATAACATCTTTTAGACATAGTCTATCCATAGAAGCAGATATCATTACTGACATTGTTAATATTGTGGCTACTATTTTTTTATTCCATTCTTCAAAAGTCTCATTCAATATTTTTATTGTTATGTTTTGCATCATTTTGTAGGTTTGTATATCTTTCCCCTGCCTAAAATCTTTAGTCCCCTTTAGTATCCAGTTTTTAAAATCATGAAATTGCTTATCTTTGTTACGTCTTGTAAAAATCAAAACAGAATCTATTTCCCACGAGAAGCTGTTTGTTCTTTATAATTAAATCCAAAATCTTATTATAAAAGTTTCAGTATTCCAATTTTATCTGGACCCTTAGTTCGTTTACAACTTTCTAAGACCAAAATCTTATTTAGCTTTTTGCTATTTATTTCAGATTCTTTAAATTCTTAAGCTTATGATTAAAATTTTCTTTAGGATTGAAAGCAGATTCACCCAGTGTTTTCCAAGTTGTCATTCTGATGGTCTCCAATAGCTTAAAAGTAGTTAATGAGCAATTTCCACAACTGATTAGAAAGTGAGGTTTGCAAACTTAGTGTCATTTAAAAGTCTCCACTGCGGTTGCGAGCAAGATGGCTAATCCCATCATCTCCTGGTACTCAAACCTGCAGAAAATCACTGTCCTGCAGTCTCCTCTTGAGGAGCAGCTGTTTGGAGCACATAGGGGTGATCTCCTGTCCTCTCCTTATCTGGAGAGGTTCCAAGGAACCATTCTACTCACCAGTTCCTTGGTTTTTCCCACAGTGGTCTGAAGAGCTGTCTTTAGTTTGCCATACCTCCCCCAGAAGTCCAGATTTATAAATACTTTGCATTAAACTTTATATAATTCTGTTTAACCCTTACCCTAACCCCTCCTGTAACCCTAACTAATTAAAATCATTAAGATATAAACAAGTGCAGTCTTTTTAATTATTTGAATTATTTGAATTACTAAGCTAAGTTTAAAATTCTAATATTTTCTAACATTATTCTAATATTAAACATTATTATATAATATTCCAATATTTAAAATTCTAATATTATCTGGAATAGAAAAATGTTTCTTTATTAGTTGATGGCAAACTGTCACAATAAAGAAGGAAAAGGAGGATGATTTTTTATTTTTTTTATATTTTTTTAATTGAAAGATTTAAAAAGGAAGATAAAAACTAATACAAACTAATATAAAGTAAGGAAGAAAAAAGAAAAAGAAATCAAAGAGAAAGTTAAAAATGGAAGAAAGGAGAAAAAAGTAAAAGAAAAATAGAAAGAAAAAAGATACAAAGAAGTGGCTTCTGATATTTACAACAGTTATAAATACAATTATAAATTTACCTCTTTCTCTAAAATTACAACATGACCCTCTTCTTTCTACAGCCTATATTATCTAATCATCAAAACCATAGATCATAAGTTCATTTTTTTCTGTTTTAGGCAAAAAGTCCATAAGGGGC